CCTGCTACATGTCCCCGCAACACATCCCTGCTACATGCCTTCTCAGTGTGTACTACACATGTTTTTGTCGCCGCAAACATGTCGCTGCAACATGTCCCTGCAACATGACCCCTTGTGTCTGGCGACCTTAAAACGCTTTCGCGTCGTCCTTCAAGTACACAGCTAAGTACTGGCCAGCTTTCTCGTCCGTCCACTCTTTTACAGCTACATAAATTTGGAAGTCTCGAAGAAATTCCCGCCCATCTTCTTCGCCTGAAAATTTCGCTTCCGGTAGGACTACTCGGTGAGATCCCATATCGCTGCCACCAGTGTAAAAGAATCGATGGACGAACCGCTAAAAACTGGAAGAACTTTAATCACACGAACACGCTTCGCGAAACGGTTTTTCAACTACAAACTTGGCTACCGCGCCTAGCTTGGTAACCTTTCTATAACTCCGTACCAGTCCTACATTCATTTAGGTACAGCACTTCAATAGCTTCGATCATGTTCAATTAGTGTTAAGTGTCATTGTCAGAGAAAACCGAGCAGTACCAAAACATCGAGGTCGGCCGTTTACCTTCATCTTTTCACAGTATAAAAGCTATCCGAAAAGATTACAGCGGTTATCAATCACACGCGACCTCCAGCGCAAAAAAAGTCTAGACAAAATTTAAGTTTTGGTGGACGTCAATCATCTCCGCCTCCTTGCCGACTGTATGCAAAATTTTACTGAAAAAGTGAAACCTTACAGCGGTCCACTCGTAAAAATTATCATTTTACTTTCGGTATGTACGGCTAGCTCACTAAATACATTGGCAGTAAATATTCCTTGAAATTTATAACTGAAGTTGTATGGTAAGTGCAGTCATTGTATGTACATGTAGGGAAATGTGTTCCTTAACAAGAAACATGCTTACTCTAATTACGTTTGATGATAAAGTGAACAAAGTATTCATGGCCATTTATATTTAACTGTGCAACCTACCAGAGGTAAACCTGTTAGCTGTTAGAAACATGGCTGCACCTACAGATCCTTACACAGGAATGTTACAGAAGGAATACAAAACATCATTACAGCAGAAATTATACATAACTTAATTCACCTTTATCTCCTGTAACATGGTGACGGTGGTGAACAAAAACTTGAAAACCAGTTTTCTTTAACTGTTTACTATATTTGTTTAATTAATAATGCTGAATCCTAAAAAAATGCCAAGTGTAAATAAACAAAAGTTCTACAAGACTGAGTTTGAAATAAATACTCCAGGTTTTTATTGAAGGCACCAGTACACATTTGAAGTCTGGCATTCATTTGAACCCAACTATTTAGAGAACTGATTTTCATAGACCAATAATTGTCGACTACGTGCAGATCACTGGAATGGCTAATGGCATAAATTTATTAATTACCACAAATGTATATTTATCCAGGATGACCCTTCCGTACATTACAACAGCACTGCTGTCAACAGGGTCCTTACTGGCTAAATAATGAAAATTAAAACCTTCAAAGACTACAACCTTAATTACAAATAAGAATCATGCAATGCATATAGTCCTAAATTAGACTTTAGATCCCTGACTGTAAACCCGTGATAAAAACTCTACTCCACCAGGAAAATACTGGACTGGTCTCCATTGTCACCTGGCAAAAGACATTGTTGGTTATGATAATGCAGTTGCATGTCAAGTTCAACTAGATATATTTGAACTGTTGTCTTATCAGGATCCAAGACATGCACGACTGTCTTTTATTTTAGGCTGACACTCATCAATTAATAATAACTATACAGGTTTAAAAAAAATGTTTGCCTCAGATTATTGCAGCATTGTCTTTGACCCATTATGTTGAAAAAGTAACGATGACCTCTTGCTCAAAGTCCCTATGTAGGGTTTTTAATATTGGTTGTAATCAGTAGGAAAACGTTTACACCGGATGTACAAAAGATGGGATAACGCATTGAACAAAAACAAAAATAAGAAAACAGATAGTTTTAGACAAGTTTTAGATGTACCAAAAGTTTCTTTGTATAGGTAGACCAAGAGCCAGATAAACCAGAGGAACCAAATATGCAGCAAGATAATGCTGGTCACAATCATCCTGCCATGGAAAGCGCTTCATCAACCAATGCTCGATCTAGAAGCGGGAAAAGTCCTCCAGTGGACAGACAGGACATGTCTGGCAATGGGAACAACTCCCTAGTAAACAGAGGTAACATATTTAGATCTAAGCCAGATTGTGGTGAATAAATAACTAGCCCTCTTTGTTGATTATGACCCATGATGCCAGATTATCTTGCCTTCTGCCTGTCTGGGTAGATTAACCAGCCATGTGCATACATTTCATACATTTATTTCTGTCTGTATAAAAGTCTATAGATGTTCTTTAGGGAGATAGCCACAATTTACAAAATATTTACAATTACCATTTTACATACCATGTACTTGTTTCTATATACTTTTTATATACTTTCCTATATCTTAGCTGTTTGGTTGAGATATAATTTATTTTGAGACTTTTTGAGGATATGAAATCAGTATAGTGAGATTGATCTTTTAACCAATACATGCAGAGGACTAGTAAGAGTTCTAAGACCAGAATTACAGTACTTTGGGGTTACTCCCCATTATCAACTGTACGGGAAGGATGCCTTTTACAGGATGAAGTAAAGGTGTTTGTTCTTAAAGTATTGTTGGAGTTCTGTTTTCTATCAATGCATTAAGGATTGAGGATTAATTACCTGTTCTGTCAGAAGTGTCATAGAAAAGACTTGGGGAACTCCCATATTAAAAAGAACGGGGGTGCTCGTTAGAAACCAAGATCCTATTTTGTTGGCGTGGCTTGAAACGTTTTTCACCCTTAAGAGGTACAAATTGTAAAACAACACCTGTCATATGTTTTTCAGCTTAATACCCGTAAAAGCTCTTGCTGTTGACGCTTTGAGGCTGAACACCCTCAGGGGTACCAAAACCGCGTTTTTAACCCATAAAAGGTACGACGAGAACCCCGTCCTTTTTATGTGGGAGTTTCCCCTCGAGGGGGGGGCAAGGCTTCCTCATAAACAAATTTTTGTCCGACGATCAATCGGTTTAAAAACTTAACTGAATCCTTGGAAATGATCTGCAATGGACAAGCATCCCACCTGGGAAGGACAGGAATAGCTTTGCTAACATCAGGGACTTTTACCTGGGGAAAATCAATTTCCCCAGGGAAAATCTACTTGAGTTCACCCAAGGTAAATTTATCTCGGGTTTCATTTTTCCCAAAAGAACTGAAAGGTGAAACCGATCAGAATTTACTCTGAGTTTTTCCAAACTCGTGCACCCAAATCGAAAACATGCTCGAGATTCAAACCAATAGGCGTTTTTACCTTCGTTTTGTTATGTTTGGCTTTGTTCATCCGAGCAAGACTATCAAAAGTTATTAACGACAACATTTTGATCTCGCGACAGGCCCAAAGAACGCAACGTACTTAGTCATCTCTACTCTTTGGCTTCGCAACAACAACATAGGCCTAAGCATAGCGCAGGGGTTCTTCCACAGCCAAAGTGTTCCTTGAAAATTTCTAAGTTCCAAATATCTCAACATGTACTGAAAGAAAACTCTCGTGTGAAAGGGAAACATTTTGCTTATTTGCGCGGCTATCGGTTTTTTTATCCAGGGAAAAATTACAATACTAACAAAAAGCTTTTCGGTCGAGAATAGAACAGTGATAGCACAGCATGACAGCCACGCTCTTCCAAACCACAACAAGTCTAGTCTGTCATTCGGAGGCCCCAGCCCGGGATCCAAACGCTATCATTTAATATACTGTTTGTGACAAAAAAGGTAATCCTTTCGTATAGCTTCTATAGAAAATGGCACCCCTTTCACATTCCT